GTTTACAGAGTCAGCCTATTGCCCCCAACGATTTTGGGTCCTCATTTTACCCACCTTGGAAAGACGGGTCAACCTTGACCTGGTGAGATTTGAACTGCCAAATTGCAGTTAGCTGGCAGTCAGCGGAAGTAGCCTGCAGTACTGCACTCTAACCACTGCACCACTGTGGCTCATGATGGTTATTAGTGACAGGAATCATTTAGAAACTGGTTCCGAGCAAGGTTTTCAGGGGGAAGAATGGCAGGTTGAAGGCAGCTCTACATATGAAGTGGAGTTGATGAGGAGTATGGCTGTAAAGAGGAGCCGATGGGTAGATCAACTCCTTCGACCTTCTCTGGTCAAGATCTCCCAAGCTGCACTTCACATGGTTGCTTCTCATTAAGAAGAGGGTAGTGGGTTCTGGAGCAGGAACCAGGAGCCAAGGGAATCTTGGCTTTTGCTTCTCATCTAAGAGCTGAAGAAACTTCTTGGATGAGAAGCGAAACATCTTCAAAGAAAAACCAGAAAGTCCAGTTGCTTATTGAAAAAAGCATCTTTGAGACAGGTTATTGATTCTCTAAATGTTAGATACTTTCAAAATGGCAAGGCTGAAAAACTGAAATACAGCCTGCATTAGTTCTTAATATAAGAAAATGAAACTATCTTCATAACTTTTAAGAATTTTTAAAATAAACCACAAAAATCAAGATAAGGTTTTCGCTATAGAAAGTTTTAAGCGGACTAAAGATGCAGAAAGAATTAGAATATTTGATTTTGAATATTAAGACTTTGAAATTAATTTTTAAAAAAGAAGTGTATTTTTATGGGAAATAAAAAATGAGTTTTGATATTGGAGACATAACAAGGTAACAAGTTTGGAGACATTTTTGAGGAATTAAATCAGGACCTTTAATCAATAATGTTGTATGTTCTTAGGAACAGTTTGTTCCCAAAAGAATCTGTTACAGAAAAAGATTTACAGCAACATTTATCTGATAGCAACATGAACAAGATTTTTTCATTACACATACAAAAAATAATTTTGGGGGGACAAGACTTTAAAAATTAATAGGAAATAAACATTCCAATCCCAAAGAGCAATTGGAAAAATTTCTTCTTGCTAGACTTTTTAAAAGAGGCTTTTTAAAATTTGCAAGAAAAAAAAATAGAGACAGGGATCAATAATCTGAATGGACTAAATAGTAAGATTATTTTAGGCAAATGGAGGAACACAAACTTGGTTTATTTCAGCAGGATTAAAATGGGACATTATTTGAGGTGGGGGGGGGTTGAACTTGTTTGGACTGGAAAGATGTGTATTAGATTTGCTTACAATTGACACAGTGCTTAGGCCTTTTCCTCTATAATTATTTTATGTAATCTGATAGTATTTAAATTGCTTTGTAATTGTCTCTTTATTTAAAATAAGAGATCTTTGTGAGCTTGTTTTTCTTAAAGGAGAATTTGTCCCTCTTGCTATGTTAAGTATCAATCTTTTGTTCATAGTAGGATACTGGGACCACTTTATACCTTCTAAATGTGCATCTGCTTACAGTTAACAGTTGAGATATGGTGAGATTTATATTTGCTAATTAATGTTAAGGGCTGTTTGGATTTTTTTTGCTAATACCCAGATTGGAGATGTTACTTATTGGATTTACCTATGATTAAGAGATACGGAATGAAGCATTTGTATCTGCTAATTAAGAGGAGGTGAAAGTGAAATTTTTATACTTGTCATGAGAAGGATAGGAAATCTCTTTTTATGCGGGGGGGGGGGGTAGTTTTCCCCCTTTTTTTGCTTTCTTGCACCTTTTATTCTATTTTTTCTTTTCGTTTTTCGTTTGAATTATTTTTACTATTGTATTTAAAAATCCCTTAATAAAATAATTTAAAAAATGTTTTGAGGGTCACATTCCATTTTGATGAGGCCAAAGTTAAAGTAGATAAGTAATGAAGGTGTTATGTGTATGGAATGGAGGAATCCTGAAATAATCAACAGCATTATTTGCATCTGCCATGTCTTTTGCATGTCTCCTCAGACAGGGGTGGGATTCTACCGGTTCGGGCAAACGGGATGTTAAGGTTACAGCTGGTTCACCAAACTGATATTTCAACCGACCAGCTGGCCCCGCCCCTCCCCGGAGTCTCCACGCAGCCCATTTGCAATGGAGGTAATTGCAGGGTCTGTGTGGAGGCTCTGGGAGGGGGAAAAATGGGCCTTCTGGAAGTCCAGAAACTTCAGAGCCCGGGGGAGGCCGTTTTCCCCCTCCCAGAGGCCCAGGGGAGGCCTGTGGACCCTTGGGAGGGCGAAAAACAGCCTTCCCGGAAAAACCACGTTGCAAAACGGGCCTATTTCTGGCTTCCTGTGGGCCTCCAGAGGCCAGGGGAGGCTGTTTTCACCCTCCTAGAGGTCCAGGGGAAGGCCTCTGGACTCTTGGGAGGGCCCACCGGAAGCTGGAAACAGGAAGTTCCAGTAGGCCCTGCCCACCATGGCCCCACCCACCCAGCAACCGGGCAGTGAACCAGTTGCTGGGAGTTTTTAATCCCACCCGTGTCCTCAGAAATAAAACCAAGGCAACCAAAAAGCTCTGCAAACATATTCGGAAGTTTTACTAGCTTCGGTGTCACTTTCAGTGAAGCATGTTGTAACCTCTTTATAGAAAGTAAACAAAAAAATCCTCAACAAATTATAACCCACAAGCCTTTGTGTTATTCCTTCCTCGTTCCTTTTTCCATCCAGTACAAAACCACCTAGCACAGTTGTTAGAGTGCAGTACTGCAGGCTACTGCTGCTGATCGCTAGCTGCCTGCAATTTGGCAGTTCAAATCTCACCAGGCTCAAGGTTGATTCAGCCTTCCATCCTTCCGACGTGGGTAAAATGAGGACCCAGATTGTTTGGGGCAATACGCTGACTCTGTAAACCGCTTAGAGAGGGCTGTAAAGCACTGTGAAGCGGTATGTAAGTCTAAGTGCTATGATAGAGGTCCCAATCTTTTGGGCACCAGGGACTGGTTCCATGGAGAGAGGTTTTTCTGTGGACTGGAGGCAGCATGGTTTCATGTGCATCCCACAGATGTTATTGTTATTCAGGCCAGGTTTCTGGCATGCCACAGACCGGTGCCAGTCCATGGACTGGGGGATGGGGATCCCTGATATCTGAAGCTAAGTTTGGAGATATTGCAGTTCAAACGATACAATCTATTTGAGGTGAATCCAATTAAGTTGGATTATTATCACATTAAGAGAGTAGCTTTCTTAAACAGAATTAAATAACATGAGCAGAATCAGACAGCGCTGATTATATTTACAACTCTGAGGCATCTTCTGAAAAAAATAATAATAATAATAATAAAAGCATCCTTCACCACCATCTCCCCTTCTTGACAACTGGCTCGACAACAAAGCATCATCAGGAATAACACATTGGTAATGTGTAACTAATGCTGGAGGCATTGCTGGGCTCATTTACCAATCTGCCTATTCCGTTTCTAGTCATTACTTAAGCTCTGAGGCCTTGGAGGCAAATAGAAAACAAACAGGAGCCTCATTCGAGTTGAGCCTGACTCCAACACGGGCTCCAGGCAGCAGAAACTGCATTCCTTGTGGGATGTTTCTTGACATCCCAGTCTGGGCATCTTCATGCCCAAGGGCTAACCAGACCAGACCTTGCTTAGCTTCAGAGCCCAAATGAGGTCAGAGAGGTATAGTCAAGTTAGTTAACTCTAAACGGCAGGTTGGAGGAGGGGAGCTACGAAAAGTTACAGGAAGCAATTAGCTAAAGTTGTCAATTTACCATTATCGGGTTCCCTTTGCCATTAACCAACTACAAAGAAAATCAGGCTTCCAGTCGCAGGAGAAAGATAAATCCTCTCTTGATAAATGGGTATCCAATAAACGTGCCAGGGGCTCCCTGGTGGGACTCAAAAAAAAACCAGCACAGATGGATCAGCACAAACCTGTTCAAGGGACTGGTATAGATTTCAGCTGTTTGGGGGGCACGGGATTCTATAGGGACAAGAGTTTGCTGGGAAACATCACTTTGAAAAATGCCACCCCAGAACATTTGGGTGGTTAGTCGGCTTCGATTAGCTTATTAAAGGGACCCCAAAAAAGCCAGTCAATGTTTGGTTAGCTTTAACCCAGAAGGCCTGGAGGATACCTTCCCCATCAGCCGTGACTTTGAACATGATGAGAGTTAAACCAGGGTAACCATTCGTTCATATTCTCACTGCTAGCACAGAGAGGATAACACAGAGAATCCTTGCAAAAACAGGATTTTTCTAGGCTATGTTTGTTTCAACTTTCCTGCTTAGATAACCCAGGGTGGGGAGGAAAGAGAGAGAAATTTGTCCCAACCCACTATGTTTTTCAAAAGATGTTTTCCTCCAAATAATAATAAAAAAGACAGCTAGGTGCATTGCTTTTGCAACCTCAGTTCTTTTATGGAAAGGTAAAACTGATGGGTAAGGACTTTTTTCTCTAGCGAAAGGAATGAGAGTTGGGCACCAAATGAATTTAATGTAGAAATTTCTTGTGTTGGGAGTCCCTATCTGCTTTCTTTCCCAAAAGCCTCTGAATAGTAGCAGCTCTTGCTCCAGGCCTTATGGGAAGCCATTCCATTCACTGGGATGGAGGCAACCTACTCAAACCTTTCCGCAATGTTTTATTATTGGCGATTTCTTACCAACATTTCCTCATTCATTTCAAAGTTTCAATTTGGTGTGCACTGTACTAGAACAGGGGTGTCAAATTGGTGCCCCCCCCACGCAGACTGGGTGCATTACGCACAGGCCACGTCCACCCCAGCTCCTCGAACGTTGTGAAGCGTCACATGATGGCAACGTGGCACCGCGAGTTTGGCACCTGTGTACTAGAACATGGAAACAAATGAGTTCCTCCACCTCACAAACAACCAGAGGCAGGTCCAGGTCCAGCATCTGGCAATTTCCTTAGTGTGCAAGGCTGTGCCCAGGTGGGGGAAAAAAAAGAGGACACTACATGGAAGGGAAAAGAGAATTACAGGCCCTTTTGCCACGTGAGGTGTAGTACCTGATCTGAAGTTGCCCCTACTTTGTTTCATAGGTGGCATCAGGAATGAAGCTCTTCGGACTGATGGGATTTAACTGGAGGATGAACAAAGGCATCTGGAGGCCACAGAAGCCTTCAGAGATGTGTCCTCTCAGCTACACACCTTTCTCTGTCAATGGCCTTTAGTGAGGTAAAGTTCAGACAGGCCTCTTGCTTGGAGAGGTTTACTGGCAGTCAAGTCAGGGGAGAGGGGGCAACTCAACTTCTTTCAAGCCTAGAAAGAGGCTCATATTCCCATTCCCTGAAAAAACCCAGAAGGAACATTGCAGACGGTACCAAAGCCATTGAGCTTGGCCTGCCCAGATTGAATGAGGCTTGAGAGTATGTCTGATGGTCACAAATTACATTATTATGACGCTCTTGAACTTTCTGCCTGGAAGTCACCAGAGGTGAATTCACAGCTCGTTAAAGAATGATCTGATTCTTGAAGCTGCGGCTGAGTTCCTTGTGAGGAAGCACGATGGAGTTCAGGATGACCACTTCGGCAGGAATGGTCACATTGCACCCTGTTGGGAGGGGGGTCAAAAAGGATCAGCTCAGAAATCAGGCTGGGGAGGAGCTGTAATCCCACAGGGGACTCCTGCTTAAAAAGGCAGGAAGGTCCCGAGTGTTTATTAGGGGAAGGGAGAAAGGAGGGTACAAAACTTACCCAGAATAGTGATGGATGGAGTCAGGCGGCCATCTCGAAAGAGGGTCTCGCTGTCGATCTTTGCATAGGGATCATTTGGATTGGGATCACTGGGGGTACCCTCCACGCGAGCCCAGCGTCCGATCGTGCTGTCCCAGCCGACAATGCTGTTGAGCACACAGGTATGGTCCTGTGGAAAAGAGAGTGAGGCATTCTATGGGGAGTCAGCCCCACGTTGCCCAGAGCTGCCGAAATTCAGGTCTCCCACAAGTCAGGAGCACCAAAGCCCCTGCCTGCCATTTCTTTCCTTTTTTGGAAGAACTGCGAATAGCTGAAGCTTCCCAGGAACGTTCAAAAGGGGGCACCTTCCCAACATTTGGGGCATTTTAAAAAATTAAAATTAATTTTAATTTAAAATTAATGCCCTGTGTTACTGAACCACAGACTTTTTGCTTAGGTCCAATAGAGATCATCCTTGGATGCTTGAAAAAGCAACGCAGGGAAACCAACGCTCCAACAATTCACTCCATGCATTTAAAAGGAAACAGGCAAAAAGGACAGAAGCCACAAGGGAAGAAAAAGGAGGAGGAAAGACTTAGTTCATTGATACAGCTGCAGTCATCATGCAGCTGGGAAGCAATTCAACCTTTATGAACACCCCTCACCCCAGGCTGTGTAAGAAAGATTCCTGCCTCAGAAAGTGCAGTAGGCAGACAAATTTAAGGGCTTCAGTTCATTTCCTAAGACCCTGCTCCTGATCCGGAGAATAGTAGCCTTACAGAACCTGGGCCACAAGTACACAGCCCCACATGAGATAGGCAGCAAATAAATGTAACAAATAATGTTAGCCTTGAAGAGGACCAACAAAACTGTCTTTGTTCATAGAGTACAGTATCTTATAAACATTTACAGTGTAGTAGCACCACCTGCTGGGCACTAAAATAAATACGAAAACACGAATACTCTAGAGCGGGTTTTAAACTTGCGGCCTGTGGGCCAAATATATCACGCACTAGCCATGCCCACCCCTGGTTTAGCAAAGGGGAAAAATCGTGATACATCACATGATGACGCCAGGAGTTTGACACCCCTGGGCTAGATACGGAATGGGACAACTTGCCACAGCCAACTCACTGTGGACACCTCACCCACGGCCAATTCGCCGTAGGACAACTCGCCACAGGACAATTTATATCAGTGTATCTCTTGTCCTGCAGTGAGTTGACCCAGCTGTGGTGAGTAGGCCACAGCAAATTGTCATAATAAAACCTGTTAGAGATAGTACTAATACCAAGGTAACATCTCCATGTGATACAAGGCAAGACTATCGTTGTGTGATTGCATTAATATCCCTCTGAACTTTCAGGGTACTGTAGGTTGTGATTTTCTCTTCATTTCTTCTTCTAATAAGATTTCTCTCTACATTATGTGTTGTTTTAGAACAGGGGTGTCAAACATGCAGCCTGCGGGCCAGATACGTCCCGCGCACGCTGCGTCCACTCCAGCTCCGCAAGCGCAAAAACAATCCTGAAACATCACGTATCGCGATGCAATCGGGTTTGACACCCTTGTTCTAGAACAACAACTTGTAGGTTGGATCAAGAAATAGGAACTGACCAAAAGTCACCGAGCAGGTATTACAGCTGAATGAGATTTGAACTAGGGTCTCCAGGATTCCAGGCCATATTTTCAATGCTATATTATATTAGTTCTATGTAGGGACCTGTCCAATTATGGTGGATTTCATCAATTCCAGGCTTATGGTTAGGAATACAATGGTCACATCCAATACAAATAATCCTTGCTTAGTGATATTAATTAGGACCAGGAACTGCAGTACTAAGTGAGGTTGTCATGAGATGCAGTGTCATGTGACCATGCCAGCCTATGAAAGCAGTTCTGGCAGTCCCAAGAGCCATTATTAGGCGAATCCTGTGTAGTTGCAGAATCCCACGGTCACGTGATCACCGTTTGTGACTTCCTGCCAGCTTCCCCATTGACTTTGTTTGTCAGTCACCAGCAGTAAAGGATCCAAATGGCAAACAATCGACTGTGGGATGATGTGACACTGTAACTGTGAGCCATTTAACAGTACCCAGATCGCAATCATGTAACTCAGTGGTGGTATTCTGATGGTTTGGCCTGGTTATGCCGAGCTGGTAGCAGCGATGAGCCGCGAAGACCGAACTGATTCTCTCCGCCACTCTGCTGTTGGGCCCACCCACCCACCCGGGTTCCCATACTCACCTTTATCCTCTGAATTTGAAGCACAGCTGTTTTCACGGCACACCAGAGTGCCGTGCGGCAGCTGCTGAAGTGACCGGGAGAGTGCAGGCTTGCAGGAGGTGAGTTAGAATGCCTCTGCGCCTGCGCAAAATGCGTGTTTAGTGCATGTGCACAAGGAAAAAATGTGCACGTGTGCAAAGCGCGCTCACCAAGCCACGCCCACCGAACCGGTGGTAAAAATATTTGAATCCCACCACTGATGTAACTGTGGGAATGCTGTGGTAGCAGCAACTACAAGGATGGTCATAGCTATCCCTTATCTAATGCCATCAGTTGCTGAACAGGTGAATGTTAAAGGAGCAGGATCTGGCATGTATTAGTCTGAACAAAACTGACCAAGAATCTGGTACTATGCCCTTTATTTATTTATTAAAATGTTATGCCTCCTGCCTCCCCTATAAGGTGACTCTGGGCAGCTTATAACGTAACAAGAAGAAAAACAATTAAAATAATTAAAACATTAAAACCACATAGATTAAGATTACAAAAACTGCACTAAAACCAGACGGAGAGACGGACAGGAGAAAAATGCTCACGAGGCATTTTTGTTGAGCCACCCTCAATGCCTCCAGGTGGGAGCATCTAGGCAGCACCTCAAAGTAAAATGCTCCAGCGCTCACAGCACCATTTCACTCAAACCTCTAACATCTAAATGGGAGATGATGGATTATCTTTCTCCCATTTCTTAAAACAGGGTGCCTGAACAGGAAATGAAAACGGGGAAATGAAATTGCACCGTTTCAGAGAAGACAGGAGCTTTGTTTAATAATAGATATGCCTTTCTATTTTATTGTGTTTCATAAGTGACCCAATATCTAAAGAACCACAGAAGAATGCTCACTAATAAAACCCACTAATATCTTTTTTTTACGTATCATTGGGACAACGCTTCTGTAATGAGTAAAGACGTGTCTGTAAATAAAGCAAGAATTAGACTAGAGGGGATTGCCATACACTAAATAGGGATTTAATTTAACACAGATGAAATGCCATTATTTAAATTGCAGGAAGTTTATGGGATGCCCAGAAATGAAGATATAAAACAACTGCATATTTATTCTTTTAAAAATGCAAGCGGTACAAATACTAGTTTATGGCCCACGGGGTTTTCAGAAAACACCTTACCTGGAGAGACGCCCCATGCAGAATGATGGATTCACGCACTCGCACTCCTGCACCAATGGTCACTCCTTTCCCGATGGAGACATTGGGACCCAGCTACAGGGAAAAGCCAAGGGACAGACACCCTGTCACTGTGCTGGCAGGCGAGATTCCCTCCTTAGCCCCACCCCAGCTTTCTTTTGTCCTCAGGGGCAGAGCCAGGAGCCAGGTGGAACAGGCTCTAAAACCCAGCCCTACCCCACACATGGTTAAGCGAGGGTGGTGAGGGGAACTCTTTTTAAGAAATCTCGATAAGCATCAAAGCATCTCCCCACACCCTTTAAAACTCTCTACCAGTGCTTGAGTAGAAGGAGCCCTGATGGTGCAATAGTTAAAATACAGTATTGTGGGCAAACTTTGCCCACTAGCCTGGAGTTCAATTCTGAGCGGCTCAAGGTTGATTCAACCGTCCATCCTTCCAAGGTCAGTAAAATGAGGACCCAGATTGTTGGGGGCAATATGCAAATAATGCTTGAACTGTAAGCCATCCAGAGAGGGCTGTAAAGTGCTATGAGACAGTTTGTGCCGTAAGCCTAAATGCTGTCACTATTTCTATTTTAAAACCTTACATATTATTGGGAGGGAGAAAGGGAGGGTAAAGGAAAGATCAGCCATTATACTCCCTGTCAGTTCTTTGAGGTAATCCAGACAAGAAACCAAAACCATGAATACTTATAGTACTCTTATCCTGGATCCTGTCAGTCTGAAAGCACTTCTCCCCTCGCCTCCCTTTGCTTTCCAGATAACTAGGGAAGGTCCCTTCTGAGGCGCTTCCCCTGTCCCTATTCCTTCTGTGAGATGAGATAGCTTTGCCCTGACTTTGTCTACACTCCTCTTCCTCCCTGTCTGCCAAGGTTATTCTCACAGCCCATTACACACGCACACACCCCAATTCCCTCACAGCATCCTTCCCTTTATACAGCAATTAAGCTCAAGGTGAAAAAAATTAATTTGTTTATATGCATGCAAGCATACACAGCTGTAAATAAACTTATTTGTGCATGCGGGAGATGGCAGGCCTACTCCATACATAGCCCAGGCTCTGGCCCTACACATTCCCACCTTCATTCTTTGATGGGAAGCAGCAGGCATCGCCCAGCCTGCAGACTTACCACAGCACTGGGATCCACCGAGGCCGTTGGATGAATATAGACATTCCCTGCATGGAAAAGAAGCAGCAATTACTTCTGTTCTCCTATGTCCTCTAGGAGTCATTTCCACTCTTCTGAAGGCTTTGCTAGAGGAGGTCACCTGCTTTACAATATGGGCTTCCAGCTCTAGCACTGAGTCCCTTTGTGATCCCCGGACAACCCCGCCCCACCACCTCCCCAACATCATTTCTGAATGCCTTTCCCCACGCAGGGCTCAGCTGCTAAAATCACCACCTCAAACTTGGGGCAAAGCAAGGAAGGTTGTTGCCAGAATGCTGGAGATTCTGGAACCAAGTATATGGGGAAAGCAAGACAATCCCCCAGCTTAGGTTAAAAAACACCTACAAAAACATTTCATCCAAAATAACCCAGACAATGACAATGTAGCATTAATAAATGAAACCCTGTCTGATCCCCCAGGAGCTGAAGAAAATATGCCAGACATTTTGGAGTCCTGGGACAGATGTGAGAGCCTAAGAAACTGATCTGCTATTTTGGTCTCTCTAGCAAGACATCTACACCAGTCCTGCCCCACCCACCCCATCACCCTCGGTCTGTGGACTGGCACTGGACCATGGCATGCCAGCAACCAGTCCACACAGACAAGCAAAGCCCCATCTGCGGGATACAGGCAGCATACAAAACCACACCCACTCCGGTCTATGGAAAAACCTTCCTCCACGAAACTGGTCCGTGGTGCCCAGAAGGTTGGGGGCCACTGATCTACAGGGCTGATGGAGCTGGATGCGATGACAGCATTTTCCCCATGACAACACAAAGAATGTGCCTTATTCGTGCCAATAAAATGTCCTGCTGCTTTTGCCTTGCGATGTAACGTGGAAGGAAGAGATACCTCGGATGCTGGGCCCACCAGGTTGGTTCTGGGCAAGCCTCTCCGGATGACACTGGCTGTAACAGCTCAGATAGAGACGATTGGCATAGATGGCAGAGCTGGCAAAGAGAACATGGGAGTTATTATGTTTCGCTCCCAGCCCTCAAGCACCACACTTAATCTCTTATCACCTGCCTCTTGGAGACAAAACAAGAAATCAAATGGCTCTCAACACACAATTAGTAGATGATGATATACTACCAGGCACAGTAGCCATATTTACACACAAAAAAATCAGATTTTCTTTCCTTTTTTGCTGGGGTCCTGCCATCTATCTGACAAGCAACAGGTCTAAACCTGATAGATGCTAACCTACAAAATCAAGGCTTCAGTTAAAGTGATGCACACACCCTAATTCATTTGGATGCTCTTCTTATTCTAGAGAACCCTTAGAGCAAGGGTTTAAGACTTGAAGTCCACAAGTTTAAGCCTTGTGGACTTTAACTCCCAGAATTCCTCCCCCAGTCATGTTAGCTGAGGAATTCTGGGAGTTGAAGTCCACAAGTCTTAAAGCTGTCAAGTTTGAAAGGCCCCTGACTTAGAGAAAGAAGCAAAGAGATTTACAGGGACTCTACAGCCTATACAACAAAAGGCAAGGAGAGGAAATGAGAAGCAAGGCTCACGGTCTCTCATCACGGCCTCTGACTTGCCTGTTGGTTACTTCAACACAAGGCGAACGGTTTCTCTTACCACTGCAACCCATATTTTTCACGGCACCTTCTGAAGTCTCTCCCTCATTTGCATTACCTGCCTAATTGCTCAAGGAAGAAATAGCCAGGTTTTATAAACCACACAGTTGTACAAAGGCAGCCGAGTCAACTCTTGGCATGCTCAAAGGTACAATTTGCAACCTCTGCACTGCCAACTCATGTGCCGCTGAGCAGAGGGTGCCACTTGATTGACAACTACAATTGGCACCAGAATTCCTGTTGCTGGGCATGGCGGTCGTTCAGTAACTCACACCCAATTTTACAACTTTGGGGTGGTGGTGGTGGTCATAGTTGTTAAGCAAATCACTCACTGCAAATGTTAACTGAACCATGCAGCTGTTAGGCAAATGCAGCTTCCCCCACTGACTTTACTGGTTGGAAAGCAGCTGGGAAGGTCACACATGGCAAACACATGACCCCAGAACACGGCAACCATGGAAAAAATACATGCCCATTGCCAAGTGCCTGAATTCCGATCATGTAAGTGTAGGGATACTGTGACGGTTCTAAATGCTAAGTCACTTTTTTTCAGGACCATGGTAACTTCAAATAGTTGCTAAATGAATGGTTGTAAATCGAGCTCTGTCTGTATAAGTCTGCAACCCATTTGGGTGCCAAATAAAGCCCCTCCCTTTTCCTTACCCAGCAGATTTGATCTGGCTCCAGAACCCTTCCGTTTTGTAGGCAAAGAGGCGCCCCTGCCCAGCAAGGGCTGTGAAGATGTCTTGCTCCAGTCGGATGGCTTCAGCCCGCTGCCAACCGTTTGTGCTCTCCTCTCTATGGGGATGAGACAAAGACAAGCTGAGGGGCAGCCTATTTGCTTCCTAGAAAGAGAGAGAGACAGAGAGAGACAAAGAGAGACAGAGACAGAGAGAGGGACACAGAGAGAGAGAGAGAGAGA